AAAAAAAAAAAAAAAAAAAAAAAATCAGTATACATAAATGGAGTCTGGGGAAGCTATTGTGTATGCAGACCTTATCCCTACCTTATAAAGATAGAAAGGCGGTTTCAGATAGACCCTCGGCGCAAAGAACAATGGAGATAAAGCAACAAGTAGCAAACAATAGTAACAACAATATATTAAGGTAAGGCGCGAATGACACAACATGTAATAGTAAAGAACCATGAATAAGATAATACAAAATAGACCTAGTACTACTGGTAAGTCTAGGAGGAACACACTACTATCCGTCAACCTACAACCCTAATCCTCGACCTCCACATATTTTTATCATGGGCCATACCCTCGGTAAGCTGGAGCAATGACATGTCCTGCTTAACTACCTCTCCCCAATACTTCTTAGGCATGCACTTCCCTTTCTCAGACCTGCAATGGACAACCTCTAATGCCCCCTGACCGGATCATTTATGTCTCACATCTTCACATGCCCGAACCATCTCACTCGACTCCCGCAACCTGTCCTCTAACCGATATCACTCCTACCTGGTCCCTAATAACTTCATTCGTGATCCTGTCCCTCCTGGTATGACCGTACATCCATCTCAACATCTCATTTCAGCTACTTTCATCTTCCGGACATGAGACTTCTTGACGAGCCAGCACTCAGCTCCATACAACATAGCCGGTCTAACCACCACTCTGTAGAACTTGCCCTTAAGTTCAGGTGGCACACTCTTATCATACAAAACCCCCGAGGCGAGCATCCATCGCATCTATCTCGCTCCAATACGATGGGTAACATCCTCGTCAATCTCCCCGTTACCTTGGATAATAGACCAAAGATACTTGAAACTATCTCTTCTGGGGACTACTTAAGTACCAATCTTCACTTCCACTCTTTCTTCATGCATCCCATCACTAAACTTGCACTCCAAATACTTAGTTTTCGACCTACTCAACTTAAACCATTAGACTCCAGCGTCTATATCCAAACTTCCAACCTAGCGTTAACTCCGTCACTCGTCTCATTAATTAGGACTGTGTCGTCAGCGAATAGCATACACCATGGCACCTCCCCTTGTATGTGTCGCGTCAGCACCTCTAACGCTAAAGAAAACAAAAACGTGCTAAGAACCGATCCTTGATGCAACCCCATCTCCACTGGAAAATAATCTGAGACTCCTCCCGTAGTCCTCACCCAATTCTGCGCTCCCTCATACATGTCCTTAATCACCCTAATATACGCCACTAGAACATCGCTAGCCTCCATACATCTCCATAGGACCTCTCTCAGAACTTTATCATATGCCTTCTCCAGGTATATGAATACCATATGCAAGTTCTTCTTCCTTTCCTATACTGCTACACCAATCTCCTCATAAGGTGAATGACTTCTTTAGTAGACCTTCCCGACATAAATTCGAACTGATTCCTGGAAATAGTAACACTACATCGCACGCTCCTCTATCTAAATTTTCATAGTATGACTCAACAACTTGATACCCCTATAGTTATTGCACTCATGAGTATCACTTTATTTTGTACAACAGGATCATCAAACTCCACCACTACTCTTCTGGCTCTTCTTCACCCTGAAAATTACATTAAACAACCCAGTAAGCCATCTGAGCCTGCCCGACCCACTTCCTTCCAAAATTCTTCTGGGATCTTGTCAGGCCCAGTTACCTTACCCCTGCTCATCTTCCGCATTGTCCCCCCAACCTCCTCGTTCCTAATACGTCTGCAAAATCCAAAATTCCTCTGACTCCCTGAGTTTCCAGCTCACCTAGTACGATGTTCTTGTCCCCTTCCTCGTTCAGGAGTCTATGGAAGTACTCGTGTCATCTACGCCTAATACATGCCCCTTCCACCAAAACCTTACCATCTTCATCTTTGATGCACCGCACTTGATCTAGGTCTCGAGCCTTTGTCTTCCTAATCTTGGCTAATCTGTACCGCTTCCTATCGCCTCCTTTGCCCCCAAGATCCTCATACAATCGCTCAAAAGTTGTAGTCTTAGCCGTCGTGACTGTCAATTTTGCCTCTTTCCTTGCCTTCTTATAACGCTCCCTACAGGTCCTCTACTCCTCCTCATCCTTTCTCCCCACTAGCTTCATATATGGTGCTTTCTTAGCTTTCACTTTTCCTTGGACCTCCTTATTCCACTACCAATCCTCTTTTTGGCCTCCCGAATAACCTTTCGATACCCCTAACACCTCTCTAGCAGCTTCCCTAATGTAGTTAGCTGTTGTGGTCCACATACTACTCGCGTCCCCACTATTCCTCTAGGCCCTTATAGCCAATAACTTCTCCCCCGACTCCTTCGCCTTTGCCTTAGTTAAGGCTCCACACTTAATCTTTGGTCGGTCGTACACCGCTCTCTTCTTCCTTACTCTCTTGACCTCCAAGTCCATTACTAGGAGCCTATGTTGTGTTGACAGACACTCACTCAGGATAACCTTGCAATCAATGCAAAGGTCCCTATCACCCCTCATAAGAAGAAGGTAATCAATCTGAGTCGTGGCAACCTTACTCCGGAAAGTGACCAAGTGTTCCTTCCTCTTCTAGAACACGAATTAGCTAACACCACTCAAAAGCTTTGGAAAAATCAATAATGAGGTATCACTCTCATTCCTAACTCCGAAATCAAACCCGCCATGCATCTCGTCATAATCCCTAGCAGTCACCTCAATATGGCCATCTTACCATGATTAATATATATATATTTGCCTTATTTATTACTTAACCATGGTAAAGTACATTGATTTGGTGTAAAAACTAGATGCGTTTAAGCATCTATACATTAATGTAAAAGAGGGAAATGAAAAAGTGATGTGACATCTCTTATATGCAAAAAATTCTATTTATATTTTTTCTCAGTTTTTTGCTTTTTTCCCTTATTTTTCATCTAAAAAACATCGAAAATTTATAAGTTACCTGATTTATCTCTTTCTTCTTAATACTACTCATTTATTACTACTTCATTGAAATCTCTCTATTTTCCTTTTTATTGCTTCCGTTTTCTCTTCCTAAAATAAATTAAATACCACAATTATGAGTGAGTATTAGTGCATGGGCATTTTTCTTCCAATTCTTGCTTACAAATGCAGTGTTGGAAAAAATTTGATGAATATGGAGAATAAAAGATTTAGCTTGAGGCGTGTCAAGGACACTGTTCTTAAGGATATTTCGCCTACACCGGGATGAATAAAATTAGGCGTATCTCCAGGATTCAACACGCTCTTCTAGTATAATTAGGAGCAGAAACAACAAAGATTGTATAGAAGAAAACCCAGCACAAAAAAAGAAGAAGAAAAGTTTTTACTCTTTTCACACACTTTTTTAAAAAAGAACACAATATACATATATATATAGTCCAAAGTGGACATATGATTGTCAAGAAAGAATCCTTACAAAACCAAAGGCTCTACTGTTACATATTTAAAGGCCATTAAGCACGGAACGTTATCAAATGGTCAGATTCAAAAAATTAATTGATTTTGATAGCCATAATAAATAATAATAATAGCCATTTAAAACTAATAAAAATATTATATTCAAAGCTATTCAAATTTATTATTACACACATTAAATATATTCAAACTAATAGTATAATAAAGATCCATTCATATAATATAACAAGAATGAACCTAGACAACAATTTGAATATCCCTTTTTGAGTTATCAATTTATTTTTCTAACAATCTCCCACATAACTCAAAAAGAATATTAAGTAATAAAGTGAAACAAAAAGTTTTGCTGGGTTTTCACAAATGAGCATAATGCGTTGAATCTGATGTCTCTTGGACTATGAACCAGATCTACATAAAATAAGATTAAACTTACAGAACAATTGGTGAAGTTTAAAACTTTTATGAACCAAGAATTCTTTTGTAAGTTTAGTATCTTATCTATCACATTATACTCGCACACACTTTGTTGTTTGTCGCGGTTTTGCGATAATAGGCCATGCGCGTGCCTGGTTTTCATGAGTGCTCTAGAAA